CAAATGTGCTTAACACAGTTGATGTATGTATGGATTGTGATAAGATTTGTATGAGCCCCTAATAAAACGATTAAAAAATTAGTTCTCCTATTCATTATGCATGAATAAATATATGATGTATTAAAAAATGTACATGTATATATAAAGCCTTTATGTATGTTCTTTTGTGTAGAGATACATAGGTGGGGGCTTCAAAGAGTTCATAGAAAAGGGGAACTGAAATAGAAACTTTCCACAAACTTTTTGAAGGCCCCCCCTCCCACACTCCCTTTAAAGCCATGTATATTTCATGAGTCATTGTAAAAGCTTTCAGGGAGGAAGGGGCTTATACTCTGAGCTCAGAACCTGGCTCACACATAAGGTGGGTGCTCTGTAGACCTCTCTAATGCCCCTAGATCTGGAAGTAGGAGCAAAGAAGGAAAATAAATGCTATGAAGAAAGAGCACCCCACTGTACCCCGGACAGCCATCAGTGGGAAGGCACAGTCCTTCTTCCACTGGCCACTTTGTCAGATGTGAAAAGGAAATTCGTGGGGCCAGGGGTGAAAGCGGGGTTCCAAATACCTCATAGACCTCGTCGGGAATGGGTACCAATTTCATTATAGGACTGGTGGCAAACTTGACCGTAGCCACAGGAGCCAGAGCAAAAAACACTTTAATCCTTTTGGCCAGCTCCGGGATCTGGGAAAATGCTACAAAACCTGTGGAAACAAAAGAAAGATGGGAAAAATTCCATCTTCCGGGTCTTCTCTTTTGGAAAAAGCAAGCATGATCATCCTTGCTACTCTGTAGGTTGCAAACTCAACTAAAGTCAAGAGGCAAAACACTTACAATGAGACCCTCTGAGTGTCTGTGTATGCAAACACTGAATTGGATTGAACTAGTCAATCAAGCATTTGTCAAGTGCTCATTCTAAACCTCCACATCGGTGTTCACTGGGAGAAGTCCAGGCTGTGCGCACTAGAAGGCCTTCCGGGCTCCCTTTGGCAATCCTCACTGTACAGTGGTGAGGGAGACTGCACTCCCCACAGCTGCAGTACACCTCACTCCCCAGGCACCCTTCCCTCAAGGTGCACGTACATGGGTACTCAATTTAAATCAACAATGACGCAAAAGGGACCACTAGGATCTCCCAGCTTAAAATAGACTTCACTTTCTTTTCCTTTTTTTTGCCTTAATCTTGGCGTGACTCCATATTGGAAACTCCTGTTTTCAAAATTATGAGTAATTTTTATTTTCTTTACAGATCACACATCACTTTCCTTACTATTATAATCAGCACAAGAATAAAATAGACTAATTTTCTTAAGCTTTTTAAAAATAAAGCACAACCTAGCATCCCTGTGGCTCCTCTTGTTCCACCAGCCCAACTCCCACACATGCACATTGCCTAACTCGGAGAGAAATGTCCTACAAGTACCATTTCTTCATCCATCTCTTCAGTTTCAAGCAATATAGCCGCCATGCTTATTCCCACTGTTGTGTTTGTGTTTATCCATAAATATCAATGTCTGGATTTCCAGAGACAAGTAGCTATTACAAAAATGCCTTGTCCTATTCTGTTCATTATTGCCACCTGGTATCAGAAATACCAGGTGGCAACTTTGTTTTGAAAAACCAAAATTTTTTTTCAAAGTTATATATTTAAATTTTTTTTACAAAACAACTGTATCACCTTCAAAGTACTCTCCATTATACTTAATACATTAGTTGTATGTGTGATTCCCCTCTTGAAAACATTTTTCAAACTTATCTCTTTGGATGGTTGGCAACACCTCCCTGATTTTTTTCCTTCCCCATCTCTATGTCATCAAATCGCTATCCCTTCATGTCCCTCTTTATTCACAGAAACAAAAAGAAGTCGCATGAAGCAAGGTCACGTGAGTAAGGTGTGTGGGGAAAGAGAGGCATGCTGTTTTCTGCCCCAAACTGGCACACTGAGATGCATGAGTAGGTGCATTGTCTGCCACAAATCAAGCCTTTTCTGTCTCACACTGTTATGCAATCGTTTCAGAACCGCAAATCAGCGGTTCTCAACCTGTGGGTCATGTGACCCCTTTGGGGGTCAAATGACCCTTTCACAGGGGTTGCCCGACTCATAATAGTAGCAAAATTACAGTTATGAAGTAGTAACCAAAATAATTTTATGGTTGGGGGGTCACCACCACATGAGGAGCTGTACTAAAGGGCCGCAGCATCAGGAAAGTTGAGAGCCGCTGCTCTAAATCGAAAGCTTCACTAAGTCTAGCCCGGTGGAACAAACTCCAAAGGCACTACGAGCCCACATGTTGTCCGTTCAGGAAGTTGATGGACGTCCAGAACAAGGCTGGTCATCAATCGACATTTCACCTTTCTTGAAACAAGAAAACCACTTCTACACTTGAGTTTTTCCCATAGCACGTCCTTGTAAACTGTGTTCAACGTAATATTTTCTGCAGCATTTTTACAGAGCAGGAAACAAAATTTCACAACACACACACTGTACTCTTAAATCGGCCATCACAAAAAAGCAAGGTTCAAATGAAACTGCTTTCATGAAAAAATTCACTGTGACCAGAAAGAACCTTCCTAGGCGATGCCACTGGGTGCACTAAGTAAGAGCAAGTTGCTCAATGCTCACCTGATGGGGAAAATGTGTACTCTGAAAGCTTCGGCCAGCATAGTTTTTTTCCAATTTTTGTTTTTATTTTGGGGACGGGGGTACCCCTTGTATATATATATATATATATATATACACACACACCTTTTTTTCCCCACTTCTTTAAAAGAAACTCAAGCTCAGCAATAAAGACATTATAGCATCTTCCAATCTTTATTACATACCGATAGTGGTGCCTTGGGAGTGACCCACATAATACAACTGTTCTTGGCCAGTTTTATTCAGAACCAGATTAATGGAAGCTGGTAGGTCGTAGAGTGCCATCTCATCAAAACTGTAACCAAACAAGAAATCTTCCATTGGCATGTTACATACAAATAGAACAGTACCGAACCATACGTGTGCAGGCTGAGGAGTCATCACAGATTGAACACATGTGTGTGAAGCAGCTCTTAGGAAACAGAACATCCCCAAACCCGAGAAGTCTCTAAGTGCGCCCTTCCCAAGAGAACCAGGAAGCTGTGGTGATGCACCCCGGTTCTTGAACTTCCCTACTCAAGGGACTGCACAGTCAGTATTACGCACAGTGTCTATTCTTCTGTGCCTGGCTTCACCGTGTTGAATCCACCACGCTGTATCCAGGTCACAGCGGATGGGCATTTTGGGTAATTTCCAGTCTTTTGCTTGTTTTTAAGAAAGAGCAGAAGAGGTTTTTTGAGGGGTACAGTGACTCTGAATCTGGGCAGCACACAGCAACCACGCAGTTACCACCCAAACCCACACTCACTGCCATTGAGTTAATTCTGACTCAGAGTGACCTTAGAGGGCAGAGTAGAACGACTTCCTGTTTCCTTCTGGGAGGAGAAAGCCTTCTTTCTCCCTGCAGTTACAGAGTGCTCCCACTGAGCGCATCGCTTTCTTGTTCGAGTCTGCTGAGCAAAGCCTTGATTCTCGTGGTTCCTGTCATGTGTCAAGCGCTGGCTTGACAAACGGGAAGTGGGTCTGGAAGAGGCCACGGTTGCTCCCTACTCTAACACTTGGGCTCAGAAGGCATGTGTGTGGTCAAGAGTGGTGGTTTTTATTGGGGGGCAGGAGGCGTAGATAAGGCACTGTGCCAAGCTCTTTCCATGTAGCCTCGCCTTTCATAGCCCAATAACCAGGGCTCCCTTTTACAAACAGAAAAAGTGACGCGCAACAATGGTTCGTGTAACAATACTACGTTCAGTGTCATAGAGCTTTTAGCTGGTAGAAGAGGGCTATAGGACAAAGTTCACCCAGCAGCTCCCACGCCCCCACAAATGCCAGAAATAAGTAGGTAGTGCCCTAGACAGTGACTGCGTGGGTGGCTGCTTGAGGGGGTGTGGAGAGGAGGTGGGAGCTGAGGACAGTGAGCACCACAAGAAAGAAGTGAAGGTTCTCAAATTGATTGTGGAGAAGATTGTACTACTCTTATGACCATGACTGAACGCTTGAATTGTATGAAATGTGAAATGCATGCCAATACAACTGTTTAAAAAATAAAATAAATCAATAATGTTGCTGTTTAAAAAAAAAAAAAAGAATGGAACTTCCAAAATTGATTGTACCATGGCTGCCCAACTGTTTTTTTTTAAACGTATCTGAACCACTGATTTATAAGAAATGTGCGATAAAATGAATAAAAAAAAGAGAGAAAAGAAAAACAGAATTTCAGAGTTGAGAATTTCTGGAGAGTTCAAGTGAAAATTCTGGGCACATGTATGAAGGGGCTTCAAAAAAGTTTGTGTAAAAAAAGTCATGAGCTCCTAGTTCCATTTTCCCACAAACTTGTCTAAGCCCACCCATACAGAGAAGGGCAGAGGGTCATCAAACAGAACTTACCCAACAGCTCCCAAACCTCCACAAATGCCAAAAATAACTGAAAAAAATACTCAATTCCCAATTGAATTTAGTTATTAGAGTCAGTCACTTGTCATTTCCACTACTGCTATGGATTCAATTTATCCCTAATTAGGACCTAAATGGGGGTTTTAAAGACCTGCAGGAGAGACATCCATTTCTACTGCTGGAACCCCCAGGTGTCTGCATTAAGGAGTTAAAGGCAATAGGATCAAACTGTTGATCAATATACCTGAAGGCCCAGAATTCATCCTGAAAAACTGAGAATCGCTTGTGTCCCCGTGACCAGGTGTTGCCCCTGCTGTTCCCCATCCAGACATCAAAGCCCGCATCAGCCAGGATGAACGCCAGGCTGCTGTCCACCAGGTTTGTGGCCCAGACACTGGAATCTGCCAGCAGGCCATGCTGCAGAAACACAACTGGTTTGGGGCCTGTAAAACACATGTGTTTAGTCATTAGTAGTGCCACGCTAGAAGAGAACGTGGTATGCATTACTACACTGATCATTTCTATCAGATTTGACCACAAATCATGAAACCAGTAAAATATGGACCCATGTTCTCCTACATGAATGTCTTTAGACACTGCAGGACGAGGAGCAATGGAACTGGACGATTTTTCTGTTTAGGAACAAGATCCACTGGCTTGAGCATAAAAAAATGTTTTAAGATGTTTTTTTACAGATCAGTAAATAATAACAATTAAGTCGGTGCTTACCTTGCTTAGCGGGCAATCCACCCTTATTTACATGATGCTGAGATAGTAAGTCATTCATAAAACAGCCTTTTAGCACTGACTATGTGCCAGGCATTCTTCTCAGCACTGAGGATACAGCTAAGAATAAAAGGGGATTGGGGGTGGCGGGGGGCGTCCACCAGATCTAGATGACCATTAGTTTCAGAGTCAGGAAAACCTGGGTGTATAGACCACAGAGGGAGAGCAAGGTAGGCCTGTGTGTCAAGGGGTGGGGAAGGAGCAGGGAGAATTATGACTAACTCAAGTATTATGCGCAAAGTTGAACTGGAACTAGGGAGTGGTGGATTGGGATTGGAACCAGATTTGCTTTATGCCAAGATCCATGCTCTTCACCAATTACCCACAGGAAAAGGTGAATGTGAGAGAAGTCATTCTGGAACACAATAAAAGTCCCTCAGAGAACGATAAGCCAAGACCCCAAAACTCCGTTGGCATGGAGTCAATTCTGACTCAGAAACCCCACGGGACAGAGTAGAGCGGCCCACTGTAGGTTGCGGAGGCTGGAAATCGTTGCAGGGGCAGTAAGCCTCATCTTTCTCCAGCACAGCAGCTGGTGGTTCTGAATCGCTGACCTTGTGGTGAGCAGCCCAGCCCAACCAGTAACCAACTGTGCCATAGGGCTCCTTAAGCCACAGTAGGAAGTAAGCTGTTTTGGAGGAATTGGACAGTACTCCTTAGTAGGTGGAGGAGATATGGGAATGGGATGGGAAACAGGTGCACCCAACTCAACCTTGCCCACCGGGGAAGCTCCCAGGACCAGCCTATTCCATGACTCCTTTTCTGAGTCACAAGCCACCATGACAGACAAGGGCCGCCCTCCGTGAGTTAGTTAGCACAGAGTTCGCCTGTGAAGGACTCAGGGGGGGCCAGTCACAAGGTCACCCACATGGCGGAAGCCCAAATGTGGGTGGAGGCAAGCTGGCCATCACGCAGAGTCCGAAACCAAATCTGCTGAGTTGACAGACCCACAGAAGGAAGATGACCGGGTGGGTGGGGAAGTGCCTCCAGCTTGCCCGGACCGAGCCTTCTCGGTCAGCACTGTGTGTCTGAACAGGCTTCCACGTGCTCTGAAAAGGCGGTGAGAAACCAGCGGAGGTCCAGACGAAGAAGCACAGTGAGCCACAGTGAGTCAAAGGTCAGGGCAAAAAGAGTGCTGTTAGCTTCAGACAGACCTTGGCTCTTACCACAACACTAGCTATAAAACCTTGGAGGATTCCGCCAACCTCGCTAAAGTATTCTTTCCTAAAGTGCAGATGATGCAACAGAACAGGGCCTGCTACCCTGTTTCCCCAAAAATAAGACAGTGTCTTATATTAATTTTTGCTCCCAAAGATGCACTAAGTCTTATTTTCAGGGGATATCTTATTTTTCCATGAAGAATATGGTACACATTTATTGCTGAACAACAACAAAAAGGAAATTTATTACCTGTATACGGTATGGTAGTAGTTGTCATCACAAACCAGAATAACTACACAAACTGGATCCTACAGTGTCAAGAATTTCTTGTTACTACCTTTATTTCCATGTACAACAATCTATGGTACATTTACTCATAATCTATGGTACATTTACTCACACTTCCTGTCTGCTCTGGCTGCGCTGTGGCCAACAGTGAGCTGCACGGTGGCGCCCACCACTACGGTCCAGAGTCCAGCGTGACGGTAGTTTTGGGAGGCCTTATGTTCAGGGAGGTCTTATTTTCAGGGGATGTCTTACTTTCGGGGAAACCCGGTAGATGGTAAGAGGTCATGAATAATGTTATTAGTTGCCATCGAACTGATCCTTGTCCCTGAGCCAGAGTAAAACGGTCCCTGGTCGTGCATCAGCCCCTCAATCGCTTGTGGATTATGATCCAGAGGGTCTGTAGTGGCTGCTCTTGAGCAGTAGACCAGCCCCTTCTTCCCAGACTGTCTGAGTGTGGGAGCTCTGCTAAAACCTACTCAGCATCGTAGCAACATGTAAGTAAGTATCCACTAGCACACCGGTGGCTGTGCAAGAGGCTCACTAGCTGGAACTCGAACCCAGGTCTCTCACATGGAAGACAAGAATCCTACCCGAGCCACCAGCACCTGCCAGGAAAGAAAAGCCATCACCTTCCTGTTCTCTCTCTTCTCCGTCACCTCAGTTTCTCCTTCGCTTGCATTATAGCATCTTAAATTCACAGGACTATAGAGTTGGCAGAATATTGGGATATTACCTAGCTCTGGGCCCAAACAGTAACTTAATAGGCAGAGAGAGAGTGGTTCAGAAAAGGGAAGTGTTTGCAGGCCGGCCTATCCCCTCATGTCCTATTCCCCAGACATGGCTCTTTCTATTCCATTCTGATTTCAGCACTTCTGTCCTCAGCAACTGAATCCTGCCATGGGTCCCTTTCTCCTTCCCTTATAGTTTAGCGCATGTCCCCATCCAGGGGTGGGGGAGGGTGTGGAGGCTGAGGAAGCTGCCACCAGGGACCATGAACAAGTCCAGCCTGATCCTCAAACAGAACAACAGTCTCTGCTTGTAATGGGTTTCCTGAGCCTTATTCCATCTAATTTTTACAACAGCCTGTGAAGTAGAAGGTCTTCTTCCCATTTAATAGATGAAAAAGAGTAAAACTTGGAGACAGTCAGTAGATCAGTAGATCGTCAAGGTCGCACAGCGGGTATAGGCAGAACTGAAACAAACCTGAGACTGGCCCTCACTGCATGCTCACACTTAACCACAAGGCCAAACTGCATCTTCCCCTCCACTGCAGGTCTTCAAGTTCCCTGTGTGGATGACTCTTTCCCAGGTTACAGAATCCTTAACCCAATGTGGCCCTGAGCAAGGAACACCCTGAAGAGCCAGCACTTGCTCAGCCCAGTCGGAGCTGGCTGCAGGGCTGGGTGCATTCTCAGATTAGTTCAAACATCAAGCCTGAGAGACTAAGAGGAGTCAGAAAATGCTTCCTCCCTGGCACAGCTTGTGGACTGGTGCAGAAGAGAGAGGTTACCCACACAATTGGGTTCACCAGAAGCTATTGTTTATTCTCTTCAATGCTAGGCAGTAGCCTCCGTGAGAACTATGAGATTAGGTCACCGGCAGGCTGAACTAGTGTTAAGTGGCTGGGGAAATGTTCCCTGAGGAAGTGTATTTAAGGATCGAGGAGGTGTAAGAGTGGGCAACCAGGAGGAAGAGAAGCCGCGACACAGGAGGGGTATGTGCAGGGCAAGCATCTCCTCCTTCCCACGTTAGCTCTGCTCCAGCCCCAAACCAAAAGGAGAAGTTGAGACAGTATACTTCTGACGCTGACTCATGCTGCACAGTTAGGCCAAGGGTCTGACCAAAATCCTCCGAAGGCCCACCATCAGAGAGCCAATAGAGCCTGGTGTGAGAGCAATTAACCAAGCTGCCAAACCCAGGCATTGGTGAACAAGCCTGCGCCTGCCCAGCCAGCCACAAGGCAAGGAATTACACCCCAGTTAACCGTGACCTATGTGTGCGTGGCTTGTGTGAGTGCTGTACTCATTCCAGGGGGGAGCTACTTAGATAGATGGCATGTTGAGAGGAACAAAAAACTCAGGAATCAGTCAGAATCCTAAGGCAGCCAAACAAAGTTTTAAAAGAGCAAGAAAGGCCATGATCCTCCCTTCCAACAACTTCATGACCATGGCCTCGTTTGGCTTTTCAACTATTGTCCCTGGGGAACCCTTTGCACTCCGTCTATAGCTCAACGTGTATTTCTGAACGCTGAAAGCAGCTACGCCTACGGCCCCTTCTCCTCTAACGCCAACAGACAGTCCTCCTCTTTCGGTGCTTGAGGTAAAGACCGGCCACTTTCCAGTTGGGCACGCAGTAGGTCCGCCCCGGCTGTTGCTATCACTTCATACCTGCTAAGCAAGTAAAGCCAACACTGAGGGCTATTTCCTTGTTTTCATCACATCAACAAGACAGCCTGATGATCATGGGGTCAACTTGCTCAGTCATTCTATAAAGGTGTAGCTCGGGTTCAGACCACAATGGGTCTAGATTCAAACTGGCCAGGCCACTATTCTTTGACCTGAGGCCAAACTTTTCCCTCTTGGAGCCTGGCTGTCTCACTCAGTAAAATAAGGGGGGTGGTCCAGTGCACTGTTCTCAGTCGCTAGGCTCATTCCTGCGTCCATAAGCTTTCCATAAAATTGATGTGCATGCATGTGTGTATTTTATTTTGCTGGGGAGAAGGCCCGTTGTGATTCTGCCCTTCAACAATCTTCATGGGCCTAATGAATGAAGACCAAACCCAAAACTCACTGCCTCATGACATTGCGGATTACATGTTGGGCTGCTAACCGAAAGCTTGGCAGTTCAAATCCACCAACCATTCCACAGGAGAAAGATGAGGCTTTCTGCTCCTGTAAAGATTTATAACCTCTGAAACCGACAGGGGCAGGCAGGCAAAAGAGTTACAATGCCCAGCTGTCTGTTCATAAAAAGCCTCCAAGCGAGGGTACCGATGGAGTCAGAGATGCTCCTACAATGTAACTGCAAGGTGTTCACCACTCAGCTTTGAATTCGCATCCTCCGACGAATCCGATACACATAAATGAGTACTGCCTTCATGCACCTTGCAAGCAGCTGGGATGTGTGACATTTGCGTGTGTGTTAAAGGCACTGACTTCAGAAATTCAGGTAGACTGGTTGCTCCTATTCCTGAGTTGAAATCCTCTCTCTCTAAAAATACGGGCTCCTCAAAAATGGAAGTGGCTCAAGCCTCTCTCCATTCTGGGTTTATTTCAGGAGTTGGCAAGGGGAGTGGCCAGGGAAAGCACCGGAAGAGAAGGACGACAGCCATCTGGTATGGGCAGGCTGGCGAGGGTAGAGAGGTTAAGGGCTCCACAGTCTCCAGTCTAGGTCACTGGGGGAAGATGGCACTGTTTATAATGAAGGGAAAGCCAGGAAAGGGAGTGGGTAGTGTGAGAACCTGGCTCCCACATTGGGATATTGGATTATTAATTCTTTGTATTTGTCATGAGTCAAGGTAATACCACATCATAGAGATCCACAGTTTCAAGCTCTGCCTCGGGCTATGGAAGCACAAGTCCTCAGACAAGCGTCCAAGCAGTTCTTCCCCCCCCCACCCTCCAAAAAAAACCAAAAAACTCTCTGCCATCAAATCGATAGCCACTCATAGCGGCCCTATAGGGCAGGGTCGAGCTGCCCCTGTGGGTTTCTGAGACCGTAACTCTTTACAGCAGCAGAACCTCTTCAGGTAGCTGAGTCATTCATCAAATGGTGCCTTTAAACCTCGGCCCGCCTTCTGAGCGTAGTTCATGGCAGGTGGTAGGTTATACCTCACTGATCCCCTTCCCGAAGGCCCTTTCAGAAGGGAGGAAGAAGATGGGGGACCCCATGCTCTGACCGGATCCCGCTGAACGTCCTTTCAGTCTGTGTTTTCCATTCTAGAGGCCAGCAAGCACTTCCCTTCATACCGGCCCCAGCAAAAACAAGAAGAAGATAATTCATAGTACCAGAGAGTGACGACAGCTACAGAGGAGCTGTGAGATCATCCTGGTCAGCAGGCTGCTTCTACAGAGAAAGAATCTAAAGCCCACAGCAACGATAAGGGCAGGCGCGGGTGTAAATGAACATCTTTCATTCCAATCACCTCAGAGCAAGTCACGAGTCATGTCTGCTGTCTTCATAGTCTAAGGCGATGAATCATTAGAGGAGACCACTGCTCACAGGGCCTTGGAGAGCTGTTTGCTTTAAGTGCTTTGTGGAGACAAGTAACAGGGAAAGAAACAGGTACACATCATCTCAGCATATTTTCAATGGGGTCCCAGGCATCTCTCAACAATGACTCACACTGCTACTTACAGTAGTCAGGCAACCACTTTTCAGAGAAATAATATATAGTCTTCTCTATATGAGAGGTGAAATGACCATATAGAAGCTACTCTTATTTTTTAAAATGTTTTTGTTTCATTAAAATGTTGTGCTGTTTCACACCAGAGGAAAACTAAAAGCCCTCGCTGCCAGTTAACACTATCAAAATTACAAATCTTTTATTCCTGGAAATGCCCCTTGTAAATAAACTTGAGCAGATGTAAGACTGTATTTGTGAGAAGAGGGTCCACTAATAGGACACCTGCTAAATCAACCATGACCCGACTCTATCGTGGAATGCCATGTATCCACAGAAACAAATTATGAAGCACTCAATATGGAAGGATCTCTGAGACATTCAGGGAATGAAGCCAAGGGAGGAATACGCAAGGTGCATTACAGGCCACACTTTGTATGAAAAGGGAGGGAGGGGGAAGTAAGAATCTACGTTTGTCTATGTGTGCGTGGCAATACAAACAACAACTAACCAAAAGGTTGGTGGTTCAGATCCAGTAGCAGTGCGGCCGAAGAAAGGATGGAGGTTCATAAGATTTGGGGAGAATTCGTGAGAAGTGGAGGTGACTGAGAAAGAAGTGAGGAGGAAGTAGGGTTTTTTTTAATCATTTTATTAGGAGCTCATACGACTCTTATCACAATCCATACATACATCAATTGTGTAAACCACATTTGTACATTCATTGTCCTCATCATCCTCAAAACATTTGTTCTCCACTTAAGCCCCCAGCATCAGGTCCTCATTTTCCCCCTCCCTCCCCGCTCCCCCATCTCTCATGAGCCCTTGATAATTTATAAATTGTTTATTTTGTCATATCCTGCCCTGTCGGATGTCTCCCTTCACCCACTTTTCTGTTGTCCATCCCCCAGGGAGGAGGTCACATGTAGATCCTTGTAATCGGGTCCATCTTTCCAATCCACTCTCCCTCTACCCTCCCAGTATCGCCACTCACACCACTGATCCTGAAGGGATCATCCTCCCTGGATTCCCTGTGTTTCCAGTTCCTGTCTGTACCAGTGTTCATCCTCTGGTCTAGCCAGACTTGCAAGGTACAATTGGGATCATGACAGTGGGAGGGGCGGGGAGGAAGTATTTTATTGTGTGCTCTTTTGATTCATTTTTATGTTTGAACAATGCAAGTGCACTAGCTACTTAGAAAACTAAACATTTCACCAAAGAAGACTCGTCCTTATTATCATAAGAAAGTGGAGGTCTGGGCCCAACATCCAAGGACGTGATGTTTGAATCTCTGCGCAAAATGTGAAACTAGCTAACCTTGATCCTTGGTTCCTTAAAGAAGTATTTTTATATGCCCTGCTTATATGCAAAACTTTTAGTACTTTGGTCTAACTATAAATCCAATTCCTTTTACTTTCCTCTTGTCCCACTATCATGCGGGTTTCAGTAATTCCTTTCAGCTACATTGCCCTTGATCAAGCCCCATCAGGCATCCTATGCCCTCCTCACTATCAATTTTAGATCACTTGTTGTTCCCTTGTCCCCGGGTTTGTTGGCACCCTCCTTCGTTCCCCCACCTCCTCCTTTCCCAGCCCCCCCCCCCAACCATTGGTCCCATTGTTTTCTCCTCCGGATTGCTTGAGGCACAAATAATAATGAGGCACAAAACAAAGCAAAACGTGAAAACAAAAACCAAAACAGCAACAATAACAACAGCTGGGGAAAAAATCAACAGCAAAAAAAAGCCTTTTATAAATAGTTCCAGGTATGTCTGTTGACCTTTATGGATGTTTTCCAGTGGAGTCTGATGGGGTGCCATGCCCAGTCCCCAAAGGAAATAAAGGAAAGAACTAGGAGGCAAAAGACATTTACAGAGGTCTAAATATAGGCATGTACATTACATTTATATATAACTATTGGGAAATAGATCTACGTACATATATTTATTTGTTAAGTAGTAAGACAGCAGACAGACATTGGACCTCCACTCAAGTACTCCCTCAATGCAAGAACACTTTGTTCTAATAACCCAGCACTCTGTGATGCTCACCTTCCCTGACACAATTGCTGAAGACAAAATGGATGGATAAGCAAATGTGGTGAAGAAAGCTGATGATGCCCGGCTATCAAAAAATATAGCATCTGGGTCTTAAAGGCTTGAAGATAAACAAGTAGCCATCTAGCTGAGAAGCAACAAAACCCACGTGGAAGAAGCACACCAGTCTGTGTGATCATGAGCTGTTGATGGGATCAAGTATAAGACATCAAAGACTCAAAACAAAAAATCATATCATTGTGAATGAGAGGGAGGGCGGAATAGAGACCCAAAACCCATCTGTAGACAATTGGACACCCCCTTAAGGTCATAAGGAAGAGACGAGTCAGTCAAGTGCAGTATAGCACTGATGAAACACACAACTTTCCTCTAGTTCTCCAATGCTTCCTCCCCCCAACTATCATGACCCCAATTCTACCTTACAAATCCGGCTAGATCAGAGCATGTACATTGGTACAGACAAGAGTTTGCAACACAGGGAATCCAGGACAGATAAGCCCCTCTGGACCAATAATGAGAGTAGCGATACCAGGAGGGGAAGGGGAAGGTGGGGGGAGGGAACCTATCATAATGATCAACATATAACACACACACACACACACACACACACACACACACACACACACCCCAGGGGACAGACAACAGAAAAGTGGTTGAAACACTAGTCGGTGTAAGACATGAAAAAATAATAATTTATAAATTATCAAGGGATCATTGGGGATAGAGGGATGATACCAAGGTTCAAGTACAAAGAAAGTGTTTTGAAAATGATGATGGCAGCATATGTACAAATGTGCTTGACACAATGGATGGATGTATGGATTGTGATAAGAGCTGTAAAAGCTCCCAATAAAAAATGTTTTTAAATCCATTTCACAGTTTTCAAGTAAATTGTGACCCTAGTGACGGTCCTAAAGATGGGCTGCATTCCCACAAGGTGGTTGCTTGTCAGTCAGAGCTTCCCTATCTCCCCACAGAAAATGCCTGTACCTTTGTCAGAATGATTCCGCCTGCCATGAGGGATCCGGTGAAGGCAAAGAATATATCCATCTGCAGTCTCCACAAAGTGTTCCTCACTAGGGAAGCCCCAGTACGAGATCAGTTCAGTCTGTGGTAATAAAGACAAGGGAAATTAGTCCAGGAGAAACTGCCAAGATCTCCCATGTCACAGGCAAAGGAGAAAACCAAAATGCCAAGGACATTCTCCATGCTTTAAGACATCAGTTGAGGTACTGAAAGCTTAGCCCGTTGGATCCAGCAGTCAGCACTCATTACAAGAGAAAGAGATCCTCCTCTTGCTTTACCCAGATGTTCTCCTCCCAGGCGTGTTCTCTTCCAGCAGATGTTACACTATGTGTGTTTAATTTTACCATAGATGTACGCCTCTTTGTTCCACCTTGTCTCACAAAACCCAATATACATTCATTTATTTCTTTTCTAATGCTGTAACCGTGACCTCTCACTTCTTTAATTTTAAGAGGTCCCTTGGTGGTATAATCAGCTATCAACCAAAAGACTGGCAGTTCAAATCCACCCAGCAGTACTGCAGAAGAAAAACTCACTCCCACTGAGTCGATGCTGCCTGTAGGGCAGGAGAGAATTGACTCTGTGGATTTCTGAGACTGTAACTCTCCAGGAGTAGAAAGCCTCATCTTTCTCCCGAGGAACAGCTGGTGGTTTCAAACTGCTAACCTTTTGGTTAGCAGCCCAACACATAACCCACTATGCCACCAGAGCTCCTCTGTGGAAGAAAGGCCTGGTGATTTGCTTCCACAAGATAAAAACTAAAGCAGCTGCTGTCGAGGTGATTTTAAGGCACGGGGACCCTGTTACAAAGTAGAACTGCTCCATAGAGTTTCCTACAGCCATGAACTGTATGAAAGCTGATGACCAGGAATTTCTTCTGTGGCACCACAGAGTAGACCTCGGTCCTCAACATTTACATTAGTAATTGAGCACAACCCTTTGTTTGGCTTCCAGGGGATCACATGGGGTAGCCATGATGCCAATGTAACTTGACAGTAAGGGTGTGGTGGTGTTTTTGTGGGGATTGGGAAATAAAGCAGAAAAACACAATGCTGCTTTTTTTTTTTTTAAAGCAATGGCCTTACAAAATTCGTCTACAATATCAAGGTAGAATTGAACAAAAAGAAAAGATGATAAGAGAGAACTATGAGCAAATTCACTTTCTGTAGGGAAAGATCCCTCGGCCATTCTTTATCAAGAGCTCAGTGGAACGTGGGTAATAAAATTATTCAGTAGACTTACAGCAAGTAAGTATTCATTGTCTCCTGTACCATGAATACATAAGAGTTTATGCTTTTACTTTTACTGAAAGAACGCGGGGCAGAAAAAAAATGAGAAGAGGAAAAAGATAAAAGAAAAGATTTGGGATGAGAAAACAAAAACAATAAAACAGCCTTACAATCTTGGTATCGATTCTTCAATCAATTATTACATGGTTTCAAAGTTGTTACTTAAAAAAAATCTGTCTTTTTCTAATATGTGCTAAAATGAGGAGCTTTGCGTTTTGTTGGCTTAAAATTAGTAACTCAGAAATATCCAAATCACGAGGTTATTTTGACTTTTGTTCAAATGGTCTTTTTCCAGCGACTTTGAATTGTGCGTTGACCTGTATTGCCCTGTGTTCCCTGGAAGGAGCCCTGGTGGCACATGGGGCTGGGGGTGGGGCTGGTGACTGCAAGGTCAGCCGTGTGAAGCCACCAGAGGCTCTGCCGGAGGAAGATGAGGCTTTCTGTCGCAGCCTTAGAAACCCCAGGGGGCAGTTCTACTCCGTCCTATCGACTCGCTACCAGTCGGAATTGGCCTGATGGCAGTGGGTTTTATGGGTGACCTCTTAGCCCCTCTCCTTGTTCAGTACAGCTTAGACCCATTTTCATGCTTGCAACGTGCTGACACCCTTTTATTGCACTTTAAAAACAAATCCAGTGTGGGGTAGAAAAGGAAATGACTAAAAGTGATCATTTAGCTGATGAAGATTAGTTCATTTTAGCAGCAAAACAGGGCTTGTGACATACACAGTAAAGCAGTGCTGTGGTAGCAATTCCCAACCACGCAGACCCTATCAGTGTTCAGAGAAGACTGTCCCACGGGGTCCCAACGGTTGACTTTTCACAGGCCTCTCATCCCAGATGCCTCTGAGGAGACTCCAATCTCTGACCTTTGGGTAAGCAGCCAAACCCATTAACCATTTACACCAACTATGGGTTCCAAGAATGCACATTACTGGTCAGTAAAAAATCTAGCAAAGTGAGTCTGAGATTCAGGGGAAGATGAAAAAACACTGTGGTGATGAGTGATTTAGGGTTTTGTCCCTGGATTTAAGAAATACTTTTCCCCACCACGGGTGCATTTTAAGAGTTGACGCGTTTGAGAAACTTACCACATTCATGTATACTTCTGGATCCACGGGTGTCCGCTTCCCCCTCGGCCCCTCCAAATGCACAGTCCCAAGGACCGAACAGAACACCAACCCCAAGAGCCACATTTTCATCCTGCACAAAACAAACCATTGTGAACCGCCCCAAATATACGACTCAAAAAGAAGCTTTCTGACTAACGCTCCCAGGACACATGGTGAACCAGTTTTCAGTTAAAGTAGCAGCCAGTTAGGTGGCAGGCCAGCATGAAACAAATGACTCCAGCCCTATCTAGAAGCAAGAAAATGAGGAATTATTGTTTACGGGGAGCCGCCTCTTCATAACCTCCCATTGATGTCACCTTGACAGCACGGCACACCCACCCAAACAGATCCACCTACTTCTTCACCACAGGGCTGGACAAATTCAGTCCTGGAGAAATGATAGCCTTTCAGAAGGGTTCAGAAGAGGACCTCATGAGATAAAGGGAAGATCCACAAACTCCAGTTTGCTAAGCTCCCACCTCTGCCCGTCTACTTTAAAAATTTTTTTAAAGTTACCATTGAATCCATTTCAGCTCATGGTGGCCCTGTGTGTTCTCCACAGGGTGTTCAATGGTTGCCTTTTCAGAAGTAGATCACCAGGCCTTTCTTTCAAGGCACCTCTGGGTGGACCTGGAGATTTGTACTACCCAGTAATTTTGATCTCATTATCAGGTCCATATTAGCCCTAGCCTCAGACAATCTGCATACTCCTGTTCTTGCCCTGAACTTACACATCGGGATTCAAATGATGTGTCATCCGAGGGGAAAAACAGACATAAAAGCAAACAAAGCCTGCAAAATAAACCATAGAAAGAGCCTCGCTCTTTCCATCTGGAAACCTCCCAACCATGAACAAGAAGCAGCTACACAAATGGCTCAGAATCACAGGCTGAATGGTGTAGACAAGACCTTGGGGGTGAACGGCCCAGTGACCTCATGTTAAAGGCCAGGTCAAATACCTTTCCCAAGGACACCAGATGGTTAGAGACCAAACTAGGACGACAGCCCAGAGCTCCTGGTTTTGTTTGTTTGTTTTTCAGTAAATCTACTCTCATCAAGGTACATGTATGGTTGCCCATATAAAGACTTGTATAAAAATGTCCTTAGCAGCTTTCTATGTAACAGCCAAAAACTGAGAAATCTAAATGAGGACTGTGTTATAAATACTTCAAAAAAAACAAAGCCAAACTCACCGTCCTTGAGTCAATGTCAGCTCATACTGAACCTATGAGGCAGAGTAGAACTTACTGTCGCTGTGAGTTTCCAAAACTGTAACTCTACAGGAGTAGAAAGCCCCATCTTTCCCCCGCAGAGTGGCTGGTGGTTTTGAACGGCAGACCTTGCGGTTAGCAGCCCAATGTGTAACCAATATGCCACCAGGACTTCCTTTTTACTGATGAGTAGTTACAAATACTGCTCATCAATAAAATGGAATGAACACACAACAGCATAGATGAATTTCAAAATAATCATGCTAAATGAAATAAGGCAGTGCCTCCACCCACTGTCCTGTAATACTGTTATGATGTCATTTGTATAAAACTATATAAAATGCAGCCTCATGTATATTGACATGAAAATGGCATGTATATATGAAAAGCAATGGTTACATAGGGAAAGGAGAGAAAAAATTACAAAAGGCATGCACAAGAAGCCTTTTTGTAATGATGGATATATTCATTATCTTCTATTCCAAGTACAAGTGACTCTATAGAACATGGCAGAATTGTCCCTGTGAGTTTCTGAAGCTGTAAATCTTTACAGGAGCAGAAAGCCTCGTCTTTCTCCCAAGGAGCAGCAAGTAGCTTCTAACTGCTGACCTTTCAGTTCCAAGCTGATACACTTGTACAGTTTAAATATGGCTTGCTATTGTGTGTGAAAGGTGCCTAGATGGTGCAAACAGTTGGCTTCTAACTGGAGGCTTGGAGTCTACCCAGAGGTACCTTGGAAGAAAGGCCTGGTGAGCTACTCTAAAAAACATCAGCCACTACAAAGCCTTCTGGAGCCATTTTATTCTGACACACATAAGGCTGGGATGTGTCAGTTAGCAAGGAAGCAAACTCTTTGGTTTTCTCTATGGCTGCTGCGTTATGTTCATTATAACACAATATATAGCTGTTTAGAAAAAAGTAATTGTGCGTGCTTATACTGATATTCAACCAGTCTTTCATTATCTCTACATGCAAATAAGCAGTTTTTCGGGTGATGTTAAAAGTGAATTGAATAGGTAGAGCATGCTTTTTGGGTAATAAAACTATTCTATATGATACTACTCTAGTGATGGACACATGGTATTATGCATTTATCAAACTCCATAGAGTTATACAAGTCAAAGCGTGAACCCTAAAGTAAACTAGTTTAGTTAATAAATGGCATTGTATCAATACTGGCTCATCAACCATAACAAATGTATCACATGAATTCAATGTTAGTAACAGGAGAGGTTCTCTAGGTAGCAAAAATGGTTTAAACTTATTTAACTGCTGACCAAAGGTACCATGGTGGTTTGAACCAACTCAACAGGGCCTTGCAAGCAAAGCCCTGGTAATCTGCCTGCCATTAAGGTTACCCACCCATTGGTGGCATAGTAATTGTGCTGTTGGGCTGCTAACCATAAGGTCAGCAGTTCAAAACCACTAGCTGCTCTGAGAGAAAAGGACAAGGTGTTCTACTCCCATAAAGAGTTATAGTCTGGGAACTCACACAGGGGCAATTCTACCAGGTCCTGTCGGGGCCCTGTGAGTCAGAATCAACTCAGGGGCAGTGAATTTGGTGGTGGTGTTGTTGTTGTTGTTGTTGTTGAACTGCTAAATTGATTCAGGCCTGTAACAACCCTATAGGCCAGAGCAGGACTGCCCCATTGGACTTCCAGGGCTATAAATCTTGAGGGAAGCAGACTGAAGGGTTAGAACCGATCTTTCAGTTAGTGCCCAAGGCTTAACTCACTGTGCCACCAGGGCTCCTTCCATTAAGATGGCTGCCAAGAAACCCTTGGGAGGGGGGCTGTTAATACTCTGTTACATATGAGGTCACTGTAAGTTGGAACAGACTCAGCAACAAACAAATACAACAGCAGTGAGTTTAGCTTTTGTTTTCTTCCTGTACTTTCTGTACCATTTCTCAGAAACCCAAAAGCTGCTTTAAAAGTCTATTTAACAGTGAATCTTCTCCTGACGTCTGAGCAGTGGTAACTTCCAGACTTCTTGAAAATGTGGACATTGTCTAGAGTTTTTACTTACAAGTTTTTTCTTCCTTTTAGGTAGCTGGAAAGAGTAGCGCAGGTTACCCCTTACCACACCTGTTGCCTCATCACACTCCATTGTTGTTAGGGAACAGGGGTTAGATTGAAAAGGAAAGAGGAAAGGTTGTGACCACACTGTGGAACAAAACAACTGCCACTAGCTGCTTTCCACTCAAAGCCTACTCTCCAGCAGAGAGACCAGCTGCCCAAGGGGTATTCTCATGTGTTAGCAGCTGACACCATCACCTGGAAGCCTTTGGGGCACCACAGAGACTGAGTGTCTCAACATAGTCGTCAGGCACTTCTTACCAGGCTGATGTGTTCAAAGGAGAAAAGGGCCCCTCCAGGGCTTCTCCGGTCTTCTGCACTTGAACCTGGATGTTAGTTCCCTTTTTATGGCCTCTCAGCACCTTCAAGGTTACTTCCACATTGTGCCTTTTGCTGCCTGCACTTTACCTCAGCCCAGAACGGCATGGGCAGTGTCTGATTAGACTTTGTACCCCCACCGCCACCCCCACACAGCGTCCCACGACTTAGAACCAAGCATATATTTGATACACAATACGGATCTTGGTGGGGGGTGGAGAAATAGGGTCAGGGAGGTCCAAGAGCTCAGTAGCTAAAGAGAAGGCCCCAAAGCAGCAGAGTTTTGTGATGATAATAATAACAATCTCAACAGCGGTGTTAGTGGCTCACAAGTCTCTAAGCGCTTGTTTTAAACCAGACACTGCCAGCAGGGCATCCCAGGGGCCAATTACTCTTCCAGTCAACCTAAGAAGTACCAAGCAAACCCCCAATCTTTTGTGAAACTGAGGTTCACCTAAGGAGCTGAAGCAAAATCCTGGTCCAGGTTAAATTACAGCAGGGTCGCTGAGGTTCCATCTAGGGCAAAGTCCGCTCTCAGGCGCGCCATGGACTAACAAGTTGGGGAGGTTGGGCCGGCTGTCTAGGGTACTGCGGGGAGAAGAGGGGCCAGGCGAACCAGAAGCCGAGCCGGGGCTCGGCTATGCAGGGCAGGGTCGGGCGGGTTCACTGAATGGCAACCGCTATTTCCCAGGAACCCGAGGGCGCCCGTCCTCCAGAGTCCTTGTGAAACACCTCGGAGCACCTTCCGCAGAAAAGGCACCCGCAGGCACCCCGTTCGGGCGCGCCGGGCACCGAGAGCAGAGCGACCTGTGGCTGCACGGGCTCGGGGTCGCGGGCTGAGCACCCGCGGCCAGCGCGCGGCCTCCTGCGGAGCCAGTGAAGGCAGGCCGGGCAGGGCGCCCGTGCTGCAGCCGCAACTGGCCTCGCAGCCGGGAGCCGCACTCACCTACCGCCGCTGTCGGGAGTCGCGCGGTGCGTGCTGCCCACTGCCTGGACGCAGCGAGACTCGAAGCTCCTCTGGGGCGGATGGCATCCAGACCTAGCCCGGCCACCGCGCAGCCAATCAGAGCAGCCCAAGGCTGGGAAGTGCCCGGAGACTCCGCCCCTGCCGAGCGTGGGCCGCCGCTGGAGGTCCCACGGAGCATGCGCAGTGGGTGAGGCTGCCGCGCGGAAAGGAGCCGCGCGACGCTCCGCCTGCGTCTGCGTCTCCCCGCTCCCCTGGCCCGCGTGTCCCCGTACCCTAGCTGGGCGGGACTGGAAGCAGCCTCCTTCGTTCTCGGGGCGGGCTGCGCTAGCCTAGTCTTAGCGGGGCGTCCTGGAGCTTTGCCTCGGAACTGGCACCCCTGCATTTGGCTGGACTCTGTGGGTTTATTAATGGAAATCAATTTGAAGCTTCTAAAATCCTGCCCATACAGAGCTTGTTCAGCATCGTGCCTCTCACAACGCAAGCCTGTAATACACATTTTTTCATTGTCATGAAAGATTGGCTGAAACGAGGAAGAAATACAATATTTAGTACAAAATCGTTAGTAATCACTCAAAGGCCAAACTCCCTATAATCAAGTCGATTCTGACTCACATAGCGATCCTATAGGGCAGAATAGAACCGCCCCTGTGGGTTTCCCAGACTAGGGGAGCAGAAAAATCATCTTTCTCCCACAGAGCAGCTGGTGGTTTTGAACTGCTGACCTTACAATTGATTAGAAGTCCAATTCATAACCCACTGCACAATGGCTCCTCAATAATCAATTAGCTCAACAAAAAAGTTTTATTGTGTACCTACCATGTGCCAGGCATTTTATAAAGGCACTGGGGATATAGTGACTGACCAGAAATGGTCCATGTTCACCTGCTAATAAGGGACACACCAGGGGTAACTTCCATGTAAGTGGTAAGTGCTATGGCAAACAATAAAGTGAAGTTAAGGGGCCCCAGAGTAGCATAGTGGGGTCTGCATTGGGCTGCTAACCACAAGGTCAGCTGTTCTAGCCCACCAGTCTCTCTGCAGGAGAAAGATGAGGCTATCTGCTCCCTGCTACTCTGAAGGTTTGCAGTCTTGAAAACCCACAGGGAGAGTTCTACTCTGCCCTGGAGGGTCGTAGATGGAAGTGGATAAAGGGATTAATGACGATTTTACTATGCTAAATATAGGGTGAAGAGGGAAGGACTCTGAGGAAGTGACATGTGAGCACAGATAAAGAGGAAGTGGTTGGGGACAACGTAGATACCGAGGAAGGAGCATCCTGGGGTGGTGGAACAGCAAGTGCACAGGCCTGAGGCAGGAATATGGGTTCTAACCAGGGCGGCTAGGCCAGGGGGGGCTGCAACAGAATGTATGTACATGGTCGAGAGAGGTAGAAAGTCTGAAAGGTACTTTGGCACCGTGGATACCCATTGTAGGTCGTGGAAAACATCATGTCCTTTTCTCGACCAATTGGAAAGGCAGTGGAGGGTATTCAGTAGAACCATCGCTGGATCCGGCATGATCCGGCTTGCAGATTAGAAGGAGCACTCGGCCTGCTGGAGTCAAGTACAGGAAGTTAGAAGTTAGAAGCAGGAAGTTAGAAGCCGGTTGCAATAACCGAAGAAATAGTTCATGATGGCCTTGTCCAGGGCGATGATGGCAGCAGAGATGGAGAAAAATAACTGAGTCAAGCTACGTTCAGTAAGTCAAGCTAAACACCCATTTGGGAGGAAAAGAGGATGGTGTGAATGGTTTGGTAAAGTGGAGTTGCTATTAGCTGAAATGGGGAAAATACAAGGAAGAGTGGGATTGGGATGGAAAAACCCAAGGGACAGTTCTAATCTGTCCTATAGGGTCGCTATGATCGGATGGACTCCATGACAGTTGGGTTTGGTTTGGGTATGAGCTGTCCAAAGGAGTGAGCATGAATGTGAAAGATGTGCAGAGGGATTCGAAAGATGCAAAGCCTGAGAAGGCAGTGAGGTTGAAGAGGAACTGAGACTGTTGCACTTGATGCTCAGTGAAGCAAAAATTCCCAAAAGAGGAAATGATCAGTGATGGCAAATGTCAATGCTGTGTGACATGGAGTGTCATAAGGACAGGGAAAGGAGAACTCAATTTAGCAGCATCTCGAGGTGCCAGCCGTAGAGTGTTTCATCTAATCCTGACAACTACCATCACGTCCCCATCTTCCAAATGAAGACATTGAGGCTAAGGAACGTTCAGTCAATAGTCTAAAGTCACAAAGTGATGCATCTCTTAATGCCCTAGGCAAAGTAAAGCCAGACTGCCATCAATGACTTAAACTACAGCCAAGAAATCCCCCAAATCAAGACGGTTGTCCCCCATTTCTGCTTTAGGGCACTGTAGTCACAATGGCTGGTGGCTGGCACAGGCAAATACTATAAAGAGAAATTTGTACAAAAGACAGATGATAGCAGGTGTGTGTGTGTCTGTGTGTGTGTGTGTGTGTGAGAGAGAGAGAGAATACTAGAATGGGCACTTTGTTTTATAAGCCAGACTTGTGGATTAAAGACCAGAACAAAAGTACTAAGGGCAATTATACTTCCAACCAAGATGGAGTAAAACTTTCCCACCATAAACAATCAGGAAAATTAAAAGGTTTGAAACAATAGTGATCCCCGAGAAAGGGTAAAGAAATTAAGTGAGCCCTACAATTGCCCCCCGGATTTTAGCCTGGAGAGAATTTCCAGGCTGCAGCACAGGGAGCAAGAAACCCAGGCAAAACCCAACAGCCTGTGTGACTGGGGAAGACAGACATGAACTTTCAGGGAGGCCAAGTCAGCATGAGATTACAAGGTAGAGTATTGGAGTGGAGAGAGGGCACTTGGGGGCTCTGGGAGATCCCCTCAAGGCTTTAGCTGTGTACTGCTTCCAGGTGGGATGTGAGGTAATAAACTAAAACCAAACTCACCGTCATCGAGTTGACTCTGACTCATAACTATGCTATAGGATAGAAGAGAACGCCTCTGTGGGTTTCCTAGGCTGTACATCTTTATGGGGAGCAAAAAGTCTCAAATGTCTCCTGCAGAACAACTAGTTAAGTTGAAACTGCAGACCTTGCAGTTAGCAGCCCAACACGTAATCCACTGCACTACTAGCGCTCCTCAGAAATGACACCAGGCAGGAAAAGAAACTCCTGGAAGGAATGGATGGGGAAATCCCCAAGACCCACCGAGACTAGGAATAGTTGAGGCTACAATTGGCGAGAGTGGAGAAACTTTAAAATATACAGGGAATTAGGTATAGGAGCAACAGGTCATTGCCTCAGTTTTAGGACAAATTTTATCCTAGGTTAATTCTGCTCAAAAGTGAAAAAAAACACCAAAACTAGAAATATGAGGAAACTTCAAAATGCCTGTGGAGAAGCAGGACAAACCATGAAGGGTGCACAACAGAACAGCAAGGGGAGCACTATCAGGAAGCCCCTGAGGAATCCCAAAAATAGACTTCTGACTTGGGGGGGAAGGGGTGAGGGACAGCACTTGGAGCCTCATCAGACCTGGTTGGAAGACATCCATTAAAGTTAGCTGGGCTCACTCCCTCCGAGACATTACTGACGAGGAGCCTGATGGAGCCACACTCATGCAGCCAGAGCCTGGAGCTTGAGGAGCCACGTGGAAACCCCTGCCAGCATTGAGATGCTTCCACCACCACTGGATCCACAAGACTTTTCACCCACTGGCCTGTGATCTTCCTTCATTCAGCATCCTTGCATATGTTTTGTGAGTCTGAAGAAGAATTTATATATTGGTACCAGACATATGGGCTAATATTGGACTTATGGACTTGATCTAGACTGGGCTGGGATGTTTTCTCAATATTCAATTGCTCTTGTATATAAAGCTCTTTTTTAAAAAAAAAATGTTAGTTGATAGACCTGAAATTAGTTATAGGCTTTCACCCTCTTATTATTATTTTTTTAATTATTTTATTTTATTTTTAATATGTTTATCTATATAAGATAGGCAAGATAAACAATCCCAAGAAAAAGCAATGAGACCTATGGTCCCGGGGGATCATGCAAGAGGAGGAAAAGGGAAAGGGAGCAGGAGGCCAACAAATTCAGGAACAAGGGAACAACAAAGGATCTAAAATCGATGATAAAAAGGGTATAGAATACCTGGTGGGGTTTGATCAATTGTAATGTAGCTGGTAGGAATTATTTAGAGCTGAATGAAGGGTGAACATGATCGTGGGGCAGGAGGAAAGTAAAAGGAAACTGAGGCAAGAAGTAGGAGGCAAAAGCTATATATATAAGCTTATATAGCTTATATAAATAGAAATATAAGCATGTACATATGTAAATATGGGTTTCTAAGACTGTAACTCGTTAGGAGAATAAAAAGCCTCTTCTTTCTCCCATGGAGTGCGAAACACTATAGTTTGTGTTAATTATGCAATATATGTGTTGATTATATAATCAACTCATTAACCATCCAACTGAGTTATCCTCTCCCTTCTGCAGATGAGAGTTGTTAATAGTGGTTAGTTGCCTTCTACTGAGCCCCAAATCATGGTACCCTCACTTACTGTATTACTCAGTCATGGGCCATCTTCATGATCATACCAAACTGACAGGGGAGTGGTGCAGTTGAGAATAAACTCAAAAC